CGTTGAAGATCGTTGAAAGATGATCATATTTTGGATGAATCTTTTGGTGTTTAGAATCATCCTATAAATGCAGTACATTAAATTGAATCAAATTTTCTAAGTGTTTAAAAAGGAAAAAAAAACAGGAAATCTTTGTGACAGAAGAAAAAAAAAGAAAAAGAAGAAGAAAAAGAAGAAGAATATGATAACTACAGAAGAAATGTTTTCGTTGATAAATTTGCCATGATGCAAATAGTTGGAATCAAAATTGATAAGAATATAGCTCGGTGTTGACGATGGCCTTCGCGCTCTTTCACGATCATAAACTTCGGTCAGTGATATTCATTCGACTTTATCCGAAGGATCATAACTTCTAAAGAAGACATTTGGAAAAGAACGTAACGTCGTTAACATTTTATAGTGTATATATGAATTAGTTTTTTTATCTATTTTTATTTTATACATATTGATCCAACATTGATTTACTTTCCCCATTGAGTCAAAATTTATTTTAGTTTCGAAGTGAAAAACAAACTTAATATATTTGACCTATATCGTATGATATATAATACGTATTTTATATCTATATCATATATTGATGGTATATATATGTATATATATATACATGTATGTGATACATATATCATAATAACACTTTAATCGCGAAATAGAAACGATAATTAACTGAAAAGATATTAAAAAATAAGTGTAAAGGAAAAAAAAATTGTAACCTCGAAGGAAGAAAATTCGTAAAGGATTCTTCTTTTTTTCTTTTTTTGTTCTTTTTTCTTCATGGCCATCATGATCACCGATAGAATCGTACACATATCAACGTGGGAAATAATCAAATTACACTTTTTATCCTTCGTATATGGTCTCTATATGATAGTAAAAAGACTCTTGAAATGGGCCTGGAATCCAAAAAAGTTTTTCGTACTGGAACAAAGGGACAAACCACCGCCATGCCTCGTCGATAACAATCTTGGTACTCATTCTTACGTGAAGATCAAGGTAACAATGTATTATTGTTAATCGATTAACATGGCAAGTATGAGATGAAAAATGAATAAATATAACACAAATAATGAAAGAAAACAAATAGAGAGATCAATTCGTTGTTATGTATTTTGCCTTACTTGACCTTCAAGATAAGAAAGAACGATCAGCCTTTAACTCTTTCGGAAATACATATTCTTTTCTTTTCTTTTCTTCTTCTCTCGCATGATCATTCGATAATCGAAACTCCAAGAATTTTTTTTTCATCCACACACGTGCCGCTCACTTCGTATCAATCACGATATACTTCTTCGTCTTGAACTTTGATTTGATTATTTGAATTGATCGATCTACAGGGGTGAAGAAACTTAATAATAATAGAATAATTTATTATGTCTTATCTCATTAATGAAGGATAACAAGTGCGTAGTGTTTATTACCTATTAAGAAGAAAATTGTGAGCTATCGTTGTTTTTTTTTCTTTCTTTTTCTTTTTTATTTTCTCGTTTGTTTTTCTTTCTAAGGTTAGATCGATCGAGAGTATCGATCCTATGACTCTTATATCTTCTTGAAAGGCGCGTAATTTAAAGTCATTGACTAAAAAACATTGATATATTTATTAAAAAAAATGTTATAGAAGTAAACTTGAAATAATCAAGCTTATAAATGTGTTCTCTTATTTAGGGTGTAAAATTCCATTATGTAGAAGCAGGAGATGTAGGAAAACCTCTTCTCTTATTGTTGCATGGTTTTCCTGATTGCTGGTTATCTTGGAGAGAACAAATACCAGCTTTAGCAAAATATTATAGGTATGTGATATTTAATACAATTATCAATCGCCTTGTTAATGTCATTAATGTTATTGTTATAATTTATAGGGTTGTGGCTATTGATTTGAAAGGTTTTGGTGATAGCGATAAACCATCTAAGAAACGTTACTATAAAATTGAAATTATAATAGATGAATTAAAACAATTTATTTCAACTTTTGATGTAAGAACATGCAGTATAATAGGTCATGATTTAGGTGGTCTTCTGGGATGGTACATGATTGCCTTACATGGAGATATAATATGTAAATTTATAGCTATTTCAAGTCCACATCCTAATTTATATTGGAATAAAATATCTAAAAATGCTGTGTTCGATGAAAAGTAAGTATACATTAATTATGTTAACATTCATTGATTATAATATATAATTTGTCATATAATTATATGAGTTTATACATTACAACAGATGGGTGCATTTTAGCAGATTACCAATTTTACCAGAAATAGATGCATTGAAAGAAGATCTATCAATTATTAATGATACATTCAAACATCTTGAAGTAAATAATACAAACAATAAAAAAAATTATGTAGAAGCATATAAATATAGTTTTAGCAGAAAAGGTTAATATATTTTTGTATTATTATAAATATGATATGTAAATGTATCTTTATAATAGTTCGATAATGAAAATCAATATATCTTTTTACAGAAGACTGGACTGGAGCAATAAATTATTACCGCAATCTTCCTTTTACAAGATTAAATATGGATGTAAACGAGCAACTTTTTACAAGAACATTACTGATAGTTGGTAATGAAGACCCATCTGTAACGATTGAAAGTATAGTTCAAAGTTCAGAATATGTGGAAAAATTTAATGTAAAAGTAATTACTGGAGCACATCATTTCCCACATCAAGAAAATCCAGATGCTGTAAACGAGGCAATTATTAAATTCTTGATAGGTGGGTTGTACTTAATGATGTTAATATAATATATTAATTTTTTGTTTCTATATTTTTTTATCATATGAATTACTACAAATTCCAGGTACTTTAAATAATTTAGAAAAAAGTTCATCTAAAAGTATAATGTCGTCTTGGCTAGATTCATTAAGTAGTACTGTTAAATATGGAAATCAAATTGTTGGTGCTGTACACAAAAAAACAAATGGAGTAGTCAACGTATTACCCAATAAAATACTTTACTTAGGTAATTCTACAAATTAAATAAGTAATGTTGTACCTATACATAAAAATTACATTAGCGATGTTATATGTTTCAATATTCATATATCATAGTTAACAAAAGGCTGACTTAATCATATTTATTTTTATATGGAATGTATACACTCATTTCATAAATCAAATCTTATGAAATGACTATTAGAAAATCTTGTAAAAATATTATTAATTTTTGTTTACTTATGATTTGTATATACAATTATGTAAAGATCTGTCTTAGGTAGCATCAAATATCATGTCATTTATAAAAAAAATATTGTAAATTATACATAATGATGTAATCTATAAAAAACATCATACATAACAATTTAATATAAATATACATTTTTCTAATAAGATAATAGAACTCAGGTGCTAAATAAAAAACATGATTATTTTTAAATGCTTAAAAATAAAATCTTTAAATGTAGCTACATTGTTTGAAATGTTGGTAGTAAAATTATATACCATTTTATAGAGTAAGAAATATTAACAAATATATTTTTAATATACATGAATATAAATATTTTTGTATAAATATTTTTCTAACAAAACTATTCTATTTTTTAAAATATTTGTTATGAATATATTCATATTTTATTATATAATCGAGTTTTCAAGTATTGCAATATTTTCAAGACGTACTTTGTGTAGATATTTTCCTACAAAAATATCAAAATATATTACAATAAAATAAAAAAGGTATATATACGTATATAAACATTAAATCTCTTTACTATATCATCGTTCATACTTTCCAAAATTTTCACCATCCTCAATGGTCTCAGGTAATTCACAATTCATTGTTTCTGGTAAAAACAAACAGAGACCAGCTCCGATTAATTGTCCTGTTCCAAATATAACAGGGGGCAACCAAGGTTGAATTTTATTCTACAATTATTAAAAACATATATAATTAAAAAAGAATATGTTATACGATCGTATTATATAAGTAGTGCATGCACACGCATATGTGTACGTATGTAATATAAGATATTGAAATATACATTACCACAGTAACAATATATGGTGCAATTATACTTCCCAATCTTGCGCAAACGCTACCTACACCAATTCCGTTGTTTCTTACAACAGTAGGAAATATTTCACTACTATATAAGTATATGGTTGGAAAACTGATAGCTGTCCCAGCAATTCCAATACTTGCTAAACAAAGTTGCGCAGTAGAATGATTTATTATTATAGTTAAAAGTAAACTCAAGCCAGACAAAAAATTGCCTCCCATCAATATTTTTAAACGAGAAACTCTTGATATCAATGAGAGAACTATAATAGTCCCTGGTAATTCAAGAGCACCTGTAAAGTGATATGATACATGTATTATTAAATATTATATTATATAAAAAATAAAAATATTGTAAATTTGAAAAATATTATTATTAAAGTTTATACTTGACACAGCAACATTTATAAATATATTTCCATCAATATGACCCATGTATTGTGCCAATCCAAAGAAGCAAGTACCACAAAAGAACCAATTAATAAATATACAAATACTTTTTAATCTCATATTAGGCGTTCTAAACAAATGTGTGACATTGTAATTCGTATTATTTGTTTTCCGAATCAATCTTTGACTTTCGTGCGATTCGAGCGCCCTATTTACATTTTCTAATGGAATCTTATTCCGTCTGGCAGCTTTCATTAAAATAATCTCGGCCTCTGCTGATCTACCGATAGCAAGTAACCATCTAGGTGATTCTGGAATTATCCTAAATTTGTCAGAAAATTATATTAATAATTTATCGTAAATTATATATATATATATATATATATATATATATATATATATATATATTGCATATTTAATATTATTTTATTTTACCAATAATAGGACAATAAAAAAATCGCCGGTATGGAAATAGCCATTTGAAACTTTTGCCATGTATGTGTTAAATAAGAAACAAGAGGAGTTGTTATATGACCAATTATAAACGGTACATGAAATAAAACGGACATCGGCGATCGCCATTCTATCCCTACAATTTCCATTACTACAAAAAATACAGAAGAAAAACGTGTAATGTACAATTAAAATTAATTCTATATAACATATAATTTATATTACGAATAGAAATAACAAACTTACGTAAAACGAAACTAACTAACATCGTTCCACCCGTAGCTATTGCAGAAATAAATTTAAATAGAAGAAATAATTCGTACCATACGGCATATGCGCTTATAACGCCTGTTATCGATTGCAAAGCTATCGCTATCATCAAAGGTTTTTTACGTCCGATCCTGAAAATATTTAACTTAATTTTACATTAATTTTCCATTCCCGTTTATATTTAAAATATATAATCGTGTTTATATTGAAAATATATAAAATTTATTATTAATGATATATAATTTTTATACCTATCGGCCATCGAACTGAATAAAAAATTACCCACAAGAACACCAAACATTGTGCACGATTGTACAATATTTGTTAATTGTTCTTTATCGCAAACTAAATCCCACTGAAACAGAAATGACAAAAAAAAATATATTCTTTTCACAATCGCAAACATTACAACAATAATATGCTATTTATATTATCAAATTTCGATATAGTTATACGCACTTCCGTTATAATACTTTCTCGAAATATTCTTTTATCGTATTTAAAGCCAGTACATTTTTCCATGGTCCCATTACCAATATCAACATAACATTTCATAATCATAGATTCATTAGTTGAAGATACTGGTGAGATACAGGAAAAATTTGTCGGAGGTGCTAAAAATACTATCGAGAGTTGATGCCAAGCAACTGGGAATTTGACAAGAGAAAGTGCTATAGCAATAACAATATGCCAAGGACCCATAACACCCATTGCATCTTGAATAAGATCCAATGGAACGTGATCTATAAAAGATAAACATATTTTCGTAGTGTGAAAATGATATTATTATGAGATACGTGCTTAATGGAATATAAGAAAAATTGTTTCTAAATTGTTAGAACCATTCAAGTAATTTACCATGCCGAGTTATTACTTCGATAACAAACGATATTTCTATTTTACTACAAGGTCTTCATAAAATTCCCTGCATCTAAACTGCAATGAAAAGAAATATGATCCTACCGTATGATATAAGAAATGCATATGTAACAAGTTTTCTTGACATATAATATATAATATTTAATTAAGGTTTTATCGTTTACTTACATTTTTACATTTTAAAAAAGATAAGAATATTAAAATTTGCGTTAAAAAATTATTGGACATAGATAACGCGATTACATATGTATTTTTGCGCATATGTAACAATTTACTTTTGAAATTATTTTTTTATTAATGTTTTACCATTATTTGCTATCAAAATGAATATTTTACTAATATTTTATTATTCGATTAAAATTTTAACACCTTAAAAGAAAGAGAGAGAGAGAGAGTGAGTGAGAGAGAGAGAGAGGGAGAAAGAGAGAGAAGAAGGGAAAGAAAGAAAAAAAGAGAGAGAAGAATGTTGAAATATATGGTAAAAGATTATTCAAAATGCATAACGCGATTACAAATGTATTTTCGCGCTTGCATGACAATTTACTTTCGAAATATTAATACCTTAAAAAATAAAAGAATATTGAAATTTATTTTAAAGGATTATTGAAAATAAAATTATTATATCTGCCAGAAATGTTCTATATAAATATTTTAGTTAAAAACATTTATAAAATGTTTAATAACGAAATATTACTGATAAAAAAATGGTTGCCTTCTCAAAGTATAAGTATATGAGTTTTTAGTTTTAGACGCGAAAGAAAAAGTAAATTTATATTAATTTTTTATTATTATCTAGAGATAGTATTATATACTATCTCTAATAAACTTAATAATATATTTAGATATATATTATTAAATATATATAACAGTTATTATGAGATAAAGAGGTATCTAAATGATAAGATTAATATAAATAGTATAAAGAGTAATATTTTTTCAATTCTTGAAATCATCCAGTAAAAGAAATGTATTAATACAAATGATAATTCAAAATTTTTGAAATGTAAGTTCTTAACTTATTTTATGATCAAATAGATTATTAATGAAATAGATTATTAATAAAATAGATTATCAAACGGAAATGATTTCGTTGAAAATGGATCCACTAAAATTATCCGATTTTTCTGTTATTTTTTATTTTTATTTTTATTTATCTATTTATTTATTTATTTCTTTTTTTTTTGTTTTCTGTTACATTACGTAAACATAGACATACCGTAAGAACGATACAACATATCGAAAGGTACATTAATTTATTAAAACCATATATCGTAAAATTAAGGAATATTTCACAAATAATAAATGAATAATCAACAATTAAGAATCGATGCTCCGTTTTCTGAATGCAAACATCTTGGTGATGCAATAAAACGTGAGTTTTATGTATCTAATTTGAATTTATATTTAGAAACAATCTCGAAATAAGTCTATCTAATGATCTTCTAAATTTATTCTCATTATGTTTACCTTTAAATGCTTTTTCCAACATTATCCTTCCTTTTATTTCGTCTTCTCTTCTTTAAAATTAATATTTCTTACTGTTCAAATTCAACGTATCGCTTGTTCAAAGGTTTACAACAGACTAAAAACAGATCCAAAGTACCCGTAGATCTGTTTTATCGACAGATTAAATTAGATCGGTCGGAGTAACAAAAAGAGGTTTTTTCTTCAGTCACATTGACATGAATTTTCATCCTTCGAATTTTCACATTGAATATAAAAAAAATATATATATAATATATAAGAATACAATACCAAGATCAATAAAAATTTGCGTTTCTTTACTGATCAAATTTTTTTTAATCTATTATTATAAAGTTCTTAAAAGTATATAAAAATATTTAATGTGGCAGTATGTAAAATATGTTAACATTTTATAATATTATTAAAAATAATTATTTTATATTTTTATAACGATTTATTTTTCGCACACGAAAGTACTTAATTTTTCAATATACGATCGTTTATTTTGACTATTCTGTTCCGTTTCAGGACTCGATAATTTTCGTTTTTTTCCTTCGGATTGTTCTTCTCTATCTTGCGTTGTAGATATTTCTTTGTATCTTGATAAAGCTATCTTAGTTAATTCAGCAGGTTTATAACTAGGAAATTCTTCTTGTAAATGTTTCTTTTGTTTTGCATACCATCCAACAAATGTTTCTTTTTTTACTTCATTTTTCGGTTTTGATTTAGAAGATAGATTTTTTTCTGTTACAGATCTTTGAGGCTTTTCTTGTGCAGTATTGAGACCAATTAATCCTGTAATATAAACATTAGAAAGAACAATTTATCTATACAGAGTTAAAAAAAAATTTAGACAATTCTGAGTTATTTGCAAAGTGCAATTTTTTTTTTAATAAACTTCCTTGTAACTTCAACCAGTCGAGAAATATTTTCTTGGATATCTATGGACGGATAACTTGTATATAACATAAAAATTAAATTGATTACATTTATGTTATTCTTTTTACCTGCTGTCGATTGTGAACGCGCATTCTTTAAAAATGGATTACTCCTTCTCGTAGATAAAGTGTCGTTCATAGATAATGGCTTTATTTCTATATCTGGTTTCTTTGTTATTACAGGAGTTAAAAGTATTTCCTCTGCATCCTCCACTATTACATCATCGTGATTGTTCATATCATTTTCAGCGTTACTTTCTTTTTGTTCATCTTGTTGTTCTTTAATGTCAGCAATGGACTCTAATTTTTTCATCAATGCAGTACGATTAATACGTGCTGCATATTTTATCGCCAAATCTAATACTTTTTGTGATGCTATTTGTTCACATAATTCAACTGCTCGATATTCTACATTACTTCGACAAGCCAACTATTTGAATTCAAAGTATTTATTATTTGTTACTAATTTTATAATGAAAGAAGAAAGAAAAACAAAAAATGAAACTTAATTCTACATACTGCAATAAGAAATAATACTGCTTCATTTTCATCTAACGGTTGACTTCCTAATTGCCACAATTTTGTTTCCTTTTCTGTTTTTTCGGATTCAGGTTCACAAAGAGGAATTTTTAAAGGTATTTCAATAATAATCGGTCGTGGAGTGGTTGCTGGATAATAACTTCCTTTACATAATACACAACGAACAGATCTGCGTTCCTCGCTTACTCCAATTATAAAATAATGGTCAGCTTTACCTTTGCCCTATTCAAATTATATAGTATTTAATAAAGAAATTATAAAAAATATTATTTCATTATCTTTTACCTGTCTATCCATATCACATACAACTTTCCATAAAGAAGATCTCTTATCATATATTTTTATAATATCTTCTGAATCCATTATAACTGGAGATCCAAGATCAGACAGTCCTAACCATATAAGATCTGATGATGGGGAAAGAGGGATAGTTAATTTTTGATTTTTCAAACGTGTTCCAAAAATTTGTATGCAAAGTAAACTCATGTGTTGATCTCCAGTCGTTCCTATTAATAATAATAAACATATAAAATATTTTATATTTTGAAAAATTACTTAGTTTTCCATATTTTACCTAGTCCATCGTGATAAGCAACTACAAGATGATTGGTAAATGCATTCATTGCAACTACAGGACCTGGCAAAGCTATAACTTCACGTTGTGTTCCACCTATCATAAAAATTCTCAAATATCTTCTAGAAGTAGCAACTGCTACAAAATTGTCTCCTGCAGTAACACATTGTCCATCTTCTCCTTCTGGAAGTTCTATCGACCATTCCTTATTACCAGAACCCCAGCCTTAAGTTTAAAGTGTTTCTGTTACATTAAATAGCTAATTTGATGATTAAAATAGTTCGAAAATTGTATGAATTTTTTGTACGATATATTATTAATTTGCTAACCTTGTAATACTACTACAACAAGTTTGCTTGCTATATCTTCAAGTGAAGGACAATTCAACACAAGAGCATAAGATGATAATGAGGCAATTGTATGTCTTAAATAATTATTTATATGCATGCTGCGATGAATTGTAACATCGTGAAATTCTACTTCTATACTAGATTCTTCTCCATCTTCCGAATTAAAACACTTTACTATTCCTATGTCATTCCACATCTATAGTGATTCAAATAAAAATATACAAATTAAAACATATTTGTTTTATTAATATATTTTTAATAAGAAAAAAATAATTTTACCATAAATCGTGATAATAAATGAATAGGTGAAGATCCAGGTTGAAAAGGTGGTTGTATGCGTATTTCTGGCATAAAAGATTTTATATTATCCACGGCATCTTGCATTTTCTCTAATGTATCAGATTTTTCATCATCTTCACGTTCTACAGATGCTTTTATTTTATTTAAACTTATTACATTTTCTCCATCATCATCATCATCATCATCATCATTATCATAATTGATATCATTTAATGGAAATTCTGTAGTTTCACGAATTTCATTATGTGTTGAAAGTTCATCACTTAGCAAATCTTCTGATTGTTTATCAACTATCTAAAATGATATAATAACAAATATAATAATATATTCTATATTTAAAATATATCTATTTACATACCACATCAATGCAGCCTAATTGGCCTGAAATATCACAGAAAGCAATTTCATCTGATTTATTATGTTTCCACACCAACGCAGTGATTTTAGTATTCTGTGGATGTTCAATATTTCCTATCAATGCCATATTTTCTGTGCTCCATACAACGATTTCTCCATATACTGTACTAGCAGCTAATTTTGTACCACAATCAGAAAATTTGCAGATACTAAATTCCTATATATAAAAATAAAATATTTTAAAAATATAGTGATTTTATAAGTATAATTAAATTAGATTATAAGAACTTACAGATTTCAAAGTAGGACATTTCAATCTATGTGATTCTTTCCAAGTTAATCTTTCTACGATAATTATATCTTTATTATGTGGATATGCAAGGCAACTTCCATCTTTACAATGAAAACTAGGTGTACAGTATGTCTTTGCAGTAAAAAAAGAATTACATTTTGGTACAACATTATTCCAAATGTTAACAGCACGTTTTTCCTTAATGCTCCAAACTCTAATAGAACCATCAGCACTAGAAGAAGCCTGGAATATTTAATTTCATGTTATAAATATATGAAAATTTCATAAATTCAAAATCAAAATCATATATCATATTTGACATACAACAAATTCTTCTTTTGGATCCAAAGATAAACCTAATATAGGAGCTTCATGTCCTTCGAGTTCTATACTATCCGATGTACTAATATTAGTAATTTGTATTCTCATATCACTAAAAAATGTAAGAGTATGTTATACAATAATATAATAATCATAAAAGACGAAGTTTATAATACTATAGAAACGAAATAATTTTAACATACCATCCACCTGATACAATATAATTACTATTTACTGTACTAGTTAATGCGCATACCGGTGCAGCAAATCTAGTTACTATTCCCTCTTTTTCAAGATCTGGATGATTAAGTATTTGAACGGTATTATTATCATTACCTACATATATCTTCCCTTCCTAAAATATATTATAATTTCATTGATACACCATTTCAAAAGTATTAATTTTAAATATCAAACGCTATTATTATGAAATTATTATAAAAAATAGAAAAATTATAAAATTTCATTACCTTTGATATCACTGTTATTGCTTGTTCCGCGATACAACTTGCCGCTGGATCATCATCCATTAAATTTAACCATGATCTAACATCTCCATCTGAACCACAAGTAATAAGACCTCCCCTTAAACGTAAATACAAATTGTAAAAATATTCTAACAATAAAAAAAAAATGGTTAACAATACTTTTACAATTATTTGCTTACTCTTCTCCAGTATAATAACAAACGTCTGTATGTCCTTCAGGATGAGCATAACGCATAGGCTTCTTTATTAATGGCATATTTTCTTATTATTTTATTCTATACATAACAAACGCAATAAATAAATTCATAAAAATATCCTTCATCGATCTTTTATTACTCGTATAAATATTTTGACGCGGAAAGTAGTTCTCAATTTCAAACGTAGAGCGCATTATTACACGATCGCATGATACTCTTTACATTGAACACTTATATAAATTAAATATATAAAATATTAATATACAGAAAAATGTTTTCATATATAGATATATAAATATATATGTATATATATATATGTATATATGCTAATATTATTCTAAGGAATTTATTATTAAAAATATATATTTCTTTATATATGAACTAGACATAATTTCAAAATTCGTTCAGATTGGTTAAAAAATGTTGAACGTTTAACCAATCCATAAAATGCATATTTGAATGACCAGCTTTAGTGAGCGCACAAAAGAACGTGCCTTAATTATCAATTTGTTCACACTGATACACACTAGAGGGAAGATAGCCTTTTTCGTGATGGTCGAAGATGCAATGAGGCGTTTATAAGTTTCACCATTATATTATTTAAAGTTATTTATCAGAATGACCATGATTTCAAAAGCTGCAGTGGGTATTGCCGTTGGCATTGCCGGTATTTTTGTTGGCTATTGTTTTTATTTTGATAAAAAACGCCGTAGTGATCCAGATTTTAAAAAGAAACTACGTGAACGTAAGTCCAGCAATTTGATATCATTCACATGGTCTTAATAATTACCCTTTTTATATTATATAAATTGTTCACGTGTTCATGTAGAATTGTGAAATAATTTTGAAAATTTTGAACTATGGAGTTATATAAAAAGAAAAAATAATTCATTTTGTTAATTTCTTTTTTATATTCAATTTAAAGTTTTCATATAGATATTTACATGGTAACTCATCGTAAATTATTTTAACTATACTTAAATAAAACATTTGATATGTTATGTTTTATGTATAAAAAAATAAATGCAATTTATTATTATTTTATCAGATCTATTAATTATTGTTATTTTAGGAAGACGTGCTAAAAAACAAGCACAGAAAGCAAGTTCTAAGATACCAGATCTTAAAGATCATGAGACAGTACAGAAATTCTTCTTGCAAGAGGTTAATATAAACATTAGTACATTATTACTCAAATATTTCTATGTAAAATATATCTACATTATAAAAGCAAAATATTAATTATTAATAGGTACAACTTGGAGAAGAAATGCTTATGTATGGTAATGTAGAAAGTGGAATAGAACATTTAGCCAATGCAGTTGCAGTTTGTGGCCAACCTAGTCACTTATTGCAAGTTCTTGAAAAAACACTGCCACCTCAAATTTTTAATCTTTTGTTGCAAAGAATACCATCTGTTGGCCATGTAAATATGTTTTAAGGTATTTTTTATACTTATTGATTAAAAGTAAATAAGTTTCTTCAATATCTTTTACAGAAGCTAGTTACTCAAACTGCAATGTCAGAAGAAGATGTTGAATAGAATATTATAGATAAACATTGGATTTTTAAATAAAATTTGGCATTAGTAAAATGTATACACTCATTTTGCATACTGTAGTCGCTACCATAACTTGACTTTTTGGTAATTACAATAATCTTATATAATTTATAAGGTAGTAAAAAACATTCATTTTATATTATGATAAGTTGCAATTATAAATACAAGTTTATATTTACATGTATAAATACTTTTATTTCATACATTTTTAATTGACTAATAGTTCTAGTCATTAAATATTTCATTTTCCTTTATAAATTATGTAGACTAAGAATAAACTTATTTGTGTTTCGTAAAATTAAAAGTACTAGGGGACTATATGACCTATAATTTGATTAAATATATTTAACTGAAGATTTTCAGTAATTGTGAATAAATTGCATTAAGTTAGATAATTCTAATTATCTGGCTTATCTATGTGCAATAAGAAAATACACTATAAAGGATTTAATAATCAATTGTATTATTTTTATTATTGATGTTTCTTTCAACATTTGCTTGCATCTATATAAAGATATTCTGTACTTTATGAACACTTTATGATCTCTGTATTAAAAGAATCTTTATAACAAACAGAATGTTAAAACAGTTATATATAATATTATTTTCTATAATAGGCACTAGCACATAAAACGATTACAGTTATTTTTTGTATAAAAAAAAAAAATATTCTATATTCTTATAAAAGTACATTGCGCGCACTATGTAAGCAATAAAGATGTTATACAGTTTCTATCAGATAAGATTACAAAATGGTTGTATCTATAAAGCATGAGCACAAATTAAATGTTATTAATAAAAAATATTACCAAAGTTACTCACCATAATGTTACATAAGATTCAGGAATTTATATTTGTTTGATTAATATAAAAACAGGTATAACTTATTTTAAAATAATTAATTAATGCTTTTTAATTTAATTATAAAATACAAGATTTCAAGTATTGCGTTTCTCTCTCTTTTGTTTATTAATATATAATGTATGTACAAATTCTATTACCTTCTATATTTCCAATGTATTTTATATACATTTACGAAGAACAGATTTTTACATTATTTTTCTCATTTTTACGTATAATTATATTATTGTATAAAATCATAAGCTGTTAAATAAAACTTGAATCTAAAGAAATTTTATATAAGATATTTTACGATTAATATTCTTTAAATAATAATACTATATATCTAGTATTTTTATATTTTTCATAATGAAAGAGAGTTATAATATAACCGGCAATAATATTTTTGTAATATTTTATTTAAAGAAGTATTTGATGAATAGTCGATACGTAAATTCATGAAATTATATCACATATGTTCAAACAATTTGATAAGAGGCAGTGTATATATTATATGGAACTTTCATATTAAAAAGTACAAAATTATATGTTAATCAAAATTTTAGTTGGAGAATTTACTTAGATAGAATGAAATATAAAAAGTTGTATGTAAATTTCAGTAATTTATACATGTAATAGTATTGATAATGGATCCGCAAATTACATTAAAGAATCAGTTTTTATTTACAATATGAATTCTGTTCTGTTTCTATTCATTAACGTTAATTATTTTATTGGATTTATTTATATTTCGTAAATATTATATATATATATATTACAATATGAAAAATTGTTTTCTTGATTGGAGAAACGAAGAAATAAAAATTGAATTAACTGATAATTATTTAAAAAAAGATCTAAAATTAACAATTACGTTACATTCTTAATTCTATATCTCTTTAAAGCACCATTTTAAGGAACAATAAACAATTCATTCGTACAATTAACGTAGTTTTTCAATCAGAATTTAAAATTTCGTTTCTAGCTTTTAGCATTACTTCAAGAGCATTTTTGTTTATTAATTTTGCTGCAATATCTTTGCCTAATTGTTCGGCACCTAAAAGACTTAGGCTACTTATATTACCTGGCGCAACACTGCAATATAGGCGGGGTTCTCTATATGGGCATTTTCTATTTAACACAATAAATGATATATAAAATATATGTAGTAAATGTAATAAAATATATTAAATATATTAAACTGTATAATATTTAGAAATACTTACTTTGGAGGTTCTCCATCATCATCCGGTATATAAAGTTCACTTTTTATTGTATCTTTTATTAAAATTTGACCATCAAGGGACCATACTGCTCCAGTAATAGTTAAATCTTTTCCAGTTAAAGAGGAAGAAACTGCAACTGGTGCAGAACACCCACCACCGAGTGTTTTTAAAAAAGATCGCTCGCATACACATCTCAATGTTGTATCTACATCATGCAAAGATTCTAAAAGAGATAGTATTTTCCAATCAGATTCTCTGCATTCTATTCCTAATGCTCCCTGACCAACAGCATACAAAGCTTCTTCTGGTTCTAATATCTGTAAATAAATAGAATCATATATTTAATATGTACTCTAATAGAAAGTAATCATCTCATAGAAAATATCATCTCATAGAAATATTACCTGACTTATTCTGTCTTCCCATCCCATTCTTTTCAACCCAGCAGTGGCTAAAATAATTGCAGCAAATGGGCTGTCTTCGTCATCTAATTTTTTTAATCTAGTATTTAAATTACCACGTATATTTTGAACAGTTAAGTGCTGCATATTTCTAGATAATTGGGCTGATCTTCTTAATGAACTAGTTCCTATAACACTTCCTTTTGGTAATGTAGATAATGTTTTGTCTTTATATTTTTTTGACATTACAACTGCATCACGTGGATCTTCACGTCTAAAAGAGATTTTTATTTTCAAGACTATTTTGTAATAAAATAATAACAAAACAATATAATCAATTTTAAACGAAAAAGGAAAAAAGAAACCTTCAAATTAGGACAATGTTTTTTTTCATGAACACATTTTAAATTTAAATATAACATAAATTAAACATACTCAAATGTAACGCTACTAAAATACAAAGTTCTTATACATTTATATATAAATCTTAGATTTAAAAAATATTATTTGTAAAAAAGAATATCCAACTAAAAATTATTAATAGTATTACTTTGTATCTACTTACTTCAATATTGCTCCAAGTACCATTCCTTGTGGCAATATTGTAGGTAAGTCTTTTAATGAATGTACTAAAAAATCAACACGACCAGTTTCTAAAGCAAGTTCTAATTCTTCTGTGAATAAAGATTTTTCTCCAATTTTAGGTAAAGACTTATCTAATATTTTATCACCCTTTGTATTCATGGTCACTAAAAGCAAATAATAAATATAAATAAACATTTTTTTTCAAAATACACACACATATTTTTAGTTATATATATATATATATATATATATATATATATATATATATATATATATATACATAGATCCTAAGATAACAGCTTTGTTTCATTTTTAGTAATATATATATATATATATACATAGATCCTAAGATAACAGCTTTGTTTCATTTTTAGTAATATATATATATATATATATATATATATATATATATATATATATATATATATATATTCATATATATATATATGAAACAAACCTGTTATCTTTAAGTGCCTCAAGAGTTACGTAATATATTAAAGTCTATAATAAATAATGATAATATATTTGATTAGTCATGATGTTCAAATCTATATATATAGAAAAAATATTATTTATTTCATACATTTCTTCTTTTTTTATATCAATAATCCTTATATTTAATTACATGAAAAATGTTTCTTCTCACCTATTTCGAACTCCTTTTTCGGATAAATATTCTTCAAACTATCTATTACATATCTAGTTTGAATTAGTGCCAACTAAAAACATAAAAAAAATAAATTTAATAAATAGGCAATAAGATTTGATAATTTGTTTATAAATTATGTTACGTAAAAAATATCTAATAAATAAAACACAATGATAAGAAGAAATTCTCTCTATAATACAATTCGTATGAAGTAATTTTTTCTGTCATTATAAAGCAATTATTATCTTACAAATTGCTGACTAAACATGAAGTACAATAAGAAAATATATGAAATCCTGATTTATTAATAATATAAGAATGAATATTCAAGATATAAATTAAATATGTAAGAAAATTTTGTTATTTTTATTTCATTTTTTTTATTTTTTTATTTTTTTATTTTTTTAAAGTAAATTAATTTAATCTTAAAAAAAGAAAAGGAATGATATAAAAACAGATATCACTCTGTTAATAAGAAGTTTTATTGACGATATGCAAAATTAATATAATTTAAATTCACGTAATAATCTATTCGTGACTTATACTCCTTTTTTTGCAAATAATATATCATTACACTTACCTCGCTCTTTCGAGATCCAACACGGATTACGTCATATGTCTCTTTATTCATTATGGTAATAAATTCAACTTACGCACGAATGTTCTTAAGATAATGCTTTGAAAAAAAATAGAATTATTTTCTTGTGGAATGTATTAGAGATATATCATGATCAAATATAACACATCAAAAATGAATAATTAGGTCAAAGACACAAAATACTTTCACTACACTTGAAAGAAACCGTAACCTATAATACACAATATTGTAACTTCTTTCTTGAATAAAAATGATATCATTATATTTTGGAACTTTCGTTAGTTTTTATTATCGTATTTTATTTGATTTCACAGTCACTGACACTGCAGCAGAAAGTGAAATTAACTATACTAATTATTAGAAATTTTACATTCTTATGTGCATAATTTCTACTTCTACACATGGAAGCGCGTGGCAACAGACTAACTGAAGTTGACTAAACTTTATTCGATATCATTGTGACGTACCGGATATCTTTGGTTAGGTGGAAGGAGAAAGGACAGATATCTAAGATCTAATATAAAAATAAATTTTGGTAGGAATTATAAAATCAAATTATTAAAGAAATTAGTAGACATACAATTATTTTCTTAGTATTATTTTATTTTTACGTTTAAAAAATATTTTATGAATATCTTTATAGAATGATATATAATACTTGAAAGAAAAATTATCTTGTATCTTAATAAAGATAATTTTCTTTAACGTATAGATACATAAATTAATCTTACAATATGTTTTTTTTTTATCACAAGAAAATAATTCCACGATGGTTCACATTTTAATAATCTGTGAAAACAATTATTTTTTAATCAATGAAACTTTCAAATAAGTCACAATGTAAATATAACAAAGGTATCATAGCTTAATTGTATTATCTAAAAATTTATATAATAAAGCTCATCAACTTATAAGTGCACAACATATAGTCTTCTTACATAATATATTTTTATCATGCATTTCCTATTTTAAAACTGAGCAGTATTTAAATACTTGTTTTATGTACAGCTTACATAACACGATTTAAATGTTCTTTTTCGAAAATAGTTCCTATTAAAAATATATAAAAAAAAGTTTTTGTTCTCCGGTGAAATGTGTACAATACATTAATTTTCATTATACCTTTGCACATAATTATAGATGTAGAAGCATTATTTATATAAAAATTGACTAGCTCAAATTTTGTATGTGCGTGTCTTAAATCACAGGAAAATCAGCAGTTCATAATAACTTAAACGATATTTAAGCAAAAACAATAATAAAAATAACAATATTTTCAACATTAATAAAACAGTTTTTCGCTTTCAATGATAATACGTATCTTCACACTACATATAAAAGCTTAGTTTCGTGTAGATCGGATCTACTGCTGTATATTATTAAAAGATTTTAAATAATTCTTATTGCGTTATATTTTATGTTTTTTGTAATCAAGTATATAGAAAACTAAATATATTAAAACAGCACCAATGGCTAAGCAACTGAATATATATATTTATACTTC